TCTTTCCCCTCCACTTTTCCTAACAGTCAGCCATCCCAACTGTTGTCTCGTTGCTCCCAGTTGCTGTCCCACCTTCCTGGCTTGCTACCCCACCTTCCAACCAACCTCCACCGTGCTTGGGATACACTCTCAAGGTGTCCGTTTGTGTCGTTTGTGTTTTAGTGATGTTATTTCCAGTTTGGGTGTGTTGTAACCCTCTTTTCATATTAATAAAATTTATTTTTGTGGTTTGAGTCTTTTCTCCTCCGGTATCATTTAATCAGTCTAAAACTTCCCAAACCGTAAAAAAAAAACTAAATCCTGGAAAATGAGATTACCTGCAAAGGTGCACGATTCTCCTGATATCTAGAGGCAAAAAGACTAAGACTAACAGCCAGCTCCATGCCTTTCTTTTCTTCACCGCCAATCACAGCTTCATCAAGCTTATCTTCTCTTGTCCACTCCAACAACGGATCCCATACAAATAATTCCAATAACATTAAGATGATGTCTTTGTTCTCACGGAGCACTTTTATAATTGTTTCACAATTGGCTCTGAAAGTGCCTTCAGTTCCCGTTAGTCCGAGTGCAGCCTCAATCGTCTGAGTAAGACGAAAAGGCACTATTTCAGGAATCTTCAACCTCCTCCCTTTATCAAAGCATACATTGTAATCAATATGCACAGCTTCACCAGTGATGAAATCCATGAGAATGTTATCAAGATGACGATCCCCAAGGCCAATAACATGGCCAACAATGCTCATAACTGCTACAGTGCCAGAAAACCTGCAAAAGAAATTTACCTTACAAGTATAATTCAACGCAATAACCAATCATCAAATATTTGCAAAGAAATTGTTACAGCAATAACCAATCATCAAATATATGCAAGGAAATTGGTCCTAAATTGTACTTCGATCTAACTCTATAATTTGTCCATCATAATAAAAAATTCAAATCATAATAGCTGTTAAGCCTGCCTTCAAGCTTCACAAAAGAACCAAATAGCATGTATATTGTTTCAATAAAGTTAACTGTATAAGGAAAACATTTTCCTGAATGGAGCAGATCTGATGAACAAATTCAGTGCAGCTTCAGTATGAAAAAAAATCTACAGATGATGATGCTGATGATGATGACAACATAAAAAATAACAAAAATTAAAAAAGGGCTAAAAATAGTGAATCCCCTCAATTTTCACCATGATACATAAGAATGGGGAGATGAACAAAGACAAATTTTTTTCTTATTTATTAAACCATGGGGTCTAAATAGAACGAAGCTCTAAAAGTGAACTCCACTGGAAATGAAGGAAAGTATCACGAAGGAAATTCAAGGGGCTCTAAAGCGAGATCCTAGAGCCATTCCAAGGGTGTAGGTGCCCAAAGTCTCTTAGACTTGATAATCTGGAGAAAACGATAGGGTGTGCTAGGATGTTAACTTCCACATCAATTGCAGATGACAACTACTACCCAGAAGTAGTCAGAATTTTACCCCACCACCCAAAAGAATCAAAAGACTAAGAATGCAACAGATAAATGCAAAATAGTAAGTAGATCGCTGAAGTAAAACCCCTTTACAATTCAAAATATCTCTCATATAATCGTACAATGGTACGATAGCCCAGTTGACCGCATAGATTACTTTGAACAGCCACCTTGTCACTGAAAATTATTGAAGCTCCGGAGTGTTGCTTATTCTTTACCATTTTAAAGAGATTGCCCTCTTGTAGTTTTCGGGCCTCACTTGGGGATAATCACTTCCTTCGTTGAGTTCAAGTGAATGCCCATCACTAAGCTTGCTAATGCCCAAAGTGATGGGAAATAGAAATAATCAATCCCCTTCAACTTTACTGGGGTTAAAGTTCTTAGAAACTAAACCACACCATGGAATAAAATCGCACAGATTCGGAAAAACCAAAACAAAGAAAAGGAACTGAAGCACAATAAAGACAATCTAGAAAAGGAAAAAAGAATTTAAAGAGGAAAAACCCGAGAATAGGAAAAAACAAGGAGCCCCACTACCGAAAAATTCCACTATGAATCAAGAAAGTTCTATAGATAACACACTAAGATTTCCTCTCAACAATCAAGGAAACTTGCATGACCTCGCTCTAATTCTTTCCTCTCGATCCGACCAGAGAAACGCACACGAAATTCTCCTCAGATACTTCTTTCCTTCATCAGGAACTTGTCGAAGAACTCGCGCACAGAAACTTCTTCATTCGCCGCTCGAAATAAGCTCATTAAATCGACTCTTCGACCAACCGCATCAGGCACATAGGCGCTCGAAATTGGGCGCCTTAGCGCCAGCGGGTTGGGAAGAAAAAAGGGCTCGAACTCGAGAGGTGGGTGCATAAGCGCCTAATCTAGGCGCAAGATGCCCCAAGTTGGGCGCAAGAGCGCCCAAAACATGGTGTTAAAGCGTCGAGCGCTCTGTCCAGCAATACCAGTCTGCCTACAATTGTGGTGCTCCAAATCAGGTTCCACGCCATAACAATCTCTCACTTTGAGACTGATTGCACCCAACACATATCCTCCTTACTGCATCCACATCTCCATTTGTGTCATTTTTATAGTCACATATCGTGATGTGGCTCACCCCCGGTCTCAAGCTTCATGAAATTCAACTGAAGTCAAGCATAGCTTCAGTTTCTCAATTGTCACTACCTTAGTCAATATATCTGCAGAATTCTGAGCTATGTATATCTTCTTCAAGAACAACTATCTATTTTTTCATGAAAGCCCAAAAAGGCTAATATATTAAATAGATAGAAAGTTACAGATACAATATGTGGGAGGGCCCAGCCCACACAAAAATCACAAATAGTTCCAAAACTAGAAAAAACAGAAAAATACATTAGATACTAAAATAAAAAGTCTAACAGTGCCGAAATACATAGTATCAGGTGGCTAGAGAGCGAAATTTGGTCTTGCCTCTGCCTCTAGTTCTAGGGTAGGAGCAAGCTAATAAGCTGGTAAGAATTTGTCATTGTCAGTAGTAACCAATGTATTATCCAATATGTTCCCGAGTTGGAGTCGGCCTCCATCTTTTTCTTCCTCCTGGAATAGACTTGTCATTCCTCATTCGAAGAATTAGTCTGATGGGGTGGTAGAACTGAAGCAGAAGGATTACCAACCGTATTACCCACAATAGGTTCTAGTATATGTGAAGTATGACTTGCCTCTACACCAGATACTTCCTGAAAAAGTGAAGCTATGAGGCTCTCCTAATTATCAGTTTGAACACTAACATTTGTAGGTAGTAGTCCATTAATATTATTTTTTATGGGATTTGAAGGTATCAGCATCACATCACTCGCAGTAACTGTAACAGCAGTGTCATGGGGGGTTTCTCAAGGGCAATAGACACCTCGTGTCTGGTACTATCCTCCTCAGATGGAACTAAAATGTCCAGAGCAGTGGGGTTAGACCCATCCTTATTCACTTGAACCTTAGATTTCAAATTTGGATGAAACTTGTGGCATTTATCTTATAGTGGGTACAATATGAGGGTTTGTGCTCCATGAAAATTTGTTGTCAATAACCATTATAGGTTGTGCCCAGCCAGACTTCAGTAATATCAGGTAAAGTAATATTCCTTTTCACAAGTATTTTGGTCACCGAGGGTCTGGTTAGGTTGAAATTAGACAGATATAGTTTCAAAGGATCCCCAAGAATGGCCCCAATAGAGTAGAGAACCTGATGATGAAAAAAATGTAACTTGAGACCAGGTAAATTAAATCATACCAGTACAGTGGGAGTTTCATAATTTGGGTCGAAATCAGGAGACGACTTAAGTAGCTTCATAGGTTTACCAGTAATGTTAAGATATTTTTTGGAAAAAATCTGAGTGTAGTATTCAAGCCGGTTAACTGAATTTATCTTCTATGATAGGGAGAATTAAATGATACCTTAGCTGAATGTGTTGTTCCGACATGAAAAACAGCATTCTTAGCAAAATAAATCGCACTCATACTGTCATTGTGAAACTTTCCAATCCCTTGCTCCTTGCCCAATTTTACCCTAAAACTTTGTAGTCAAATCATCTTCTTCCTAGCCTCAGTGATAGTAATTCATTCGCCCTCCGTATTTAAAAGTGAAACGAACTTCCGTAACCTAGAAACTCAAATCACTGTTGTGTTCCTCAAAGTGAAGATATACCTTGTACTTTTCTATTATCACATCTCATGCAAAATCTGAATCTATAAATCCTTGTAGATTGTTCCCTACGCTTCCATAGCAAAGTAACATGTTGATTGTTCCCCTCAAATACCTGAGAATCCACTTTACCACCTCTCAATGATGTCTGTCTGGATTGCCCACATACCTGTTGACCAATCTCATTGTTTGGTCTAGTATAAATCATACATCAAACTTCAAACTATTGACGCATAAAGAGTTCTCTCATTTATGTTTGCTCTGCTTTAAGGTTAGGCAATAACTCAGGTAGTTTGAAGTGACTATCTAAGAGAGATAACTGATTTTGCCTCACTCATATTGAGCCTCTATAGGATCTTCCAACATACTCTGCTTGAGACAACTTTTATGTTCCTGCACTCTTGTCCCTGTTGATTCTTATCCTAAGGATTTTTCTGGTTGGACCTAAATCCTTCATCTTAAACTCACTTGATAATTGTTCCTTCAAGTCTTTGATTTTTCGCCTACAAAATACATGTCATCCACATACAAAAAAAATAAAATATAACAATTACTGAAATATTTGATGAAAAAGAGTAGTCTGTTTGGCACTTCAAGTACCCATTTTCTAACATAAACTTGTTAGACCTCTTGTAACACTGTCTTGGGGCTTGTTTCAACCCATATAAGCTATTCTTCAATCTGCAGACCAGAAGTTCTCTGCCTGAAACGTTACAATTCTGTGGTTGCACCATGTACAGTTCCTCCAGATTTCCATGTAAAAAAGTTATTTTTTACATTCATCTAAACATGGTGTTAAAGAATTTTTCGCTTACAAAATACATGTCATCCACATACAAAAAAACAAAATATAACAATTACTGAAATATTTGATGAAAAAGAGTAGTCTGTTTGGCACTTCAAGTACTCATTTTCTAACATAAACTTGTTAGACCTCTTGTAACACTGTCTTGGGGCTTGCTTCAACCCATATAAGCTATTCTTCAATCTGCAGACCAGAAGTTCTCTGCCTGAAACGTTACAATTCTGTGGTTGCACCATGTACAGTTCCTCCAGATTTCCATGTAAAAAAGTTATTTTTTACATTCATCTACTTTACATATATATCTTCCTCTTCTATTAGACTTACTACTATCCTGACAGTTGTCATCTTCACCACTGAGGAAAATATCTCTGTATAATGCACTCCTTCCTTCTATTGGAAACCCTTTATAGCAAGCCTTACCTTGTAGCGTCTGCTACCATCTGACTCCTCTTTCAGCCTGTAAACTCACTTGTTGTGTAGTGCTCTTTTGTCATCTGGTAATACCATCAAATCTCAAGTTTGATTTGACACTAAGTATTGCATTTCTTCATCCATGGCATGCTCTCACTCACTTAAATCTTCAGCTTGAGTAGCCTCCTCAAAGCACTCTGCTTCACCACTATCTGTTAATAATAAAATAGTGTAATGAAAGAGAATGCATGTGTAAGGGTCATATCATTTTACTGGATCTCCTGACTTCAGCAGCAAGTAACTGGGGAACTTACAGTACTTCTGGTTATGCTCTATTTCTTTCTTCACCATACTGATCATCGGCTTCTTCTATCTCAACAAACTTGGACTCTTCGAAAGAAACCAACAGA